ACAACCACAGGGAGATGATTCCCAACAGCAGGGTCATTCACAATAAGAGTATTACTGTTGTTATATCAGTAAGGATGTGTGTTCATTATTAATACAAAGATTTTAGAAAAAATTGCAGGGGTGTGCCCAGGCTTTATAGTCACACACTAAACTAGATTTACATTTAAAAACTAAACCATGAGACCTCAGCAACTGATAATGGCACAAAGTCTGTGACACCACACACGCACAGTGTTAAATAAGTACACTACCCACCCAGAGTTTATCGTTCGCTGCTTTTTAAAACTAGTTTCTGTCAGTACTGATTCAAATCATGCACCGTGGCAGACAAGGTTTCTAACCTGTTTCTCTGCAAGCAGCTGCTCCTTCTCTTTGTGGGCAACCCTCAGGCTGGCCTTCAGCTCCTGAAGCTCCCTACGGGTTTCACTCAGCTGAACCTACAAGCCAGATATCACAAAACAGCAGGGTGAGGTATATTAGACCCACTCGAAAGACACTTTGACTTTTGTGTGATGTTCTAGAAGTAAACAGCCAACATCTAAATGATGCTCATTCTGAGTTTGACCTTGTTTTTGCCAGTTCAAACAAAACTATTTGTTCACACAGATACAGAGTAGGCTATAATGTATATGAAGCAGCTTCTCTCACCCGGTTGCAATCTTTTTCTCTTCCAAGCTCAACCTCTAGCTTCACTCTCTCCATCCTTTCCTCTTGCAGCCTCTCCTCCATCGCCTGCATCTCTTGGCTGAGTTTCTCCAAACGCTCATGGTCTTTCTATGAGGGTGACACACAGACACTACTACTTACTGTATTTACTTCTGTAAAATTATGATATTATTTTATGCCATGTTATACCCCTAATTAAAGATTGTGAATTATTATGTAGTTTTAGTTTGCATTATTCTCCTGAATTAGAAGAAGCTGATAACTATTGCATTAGTTAAACTGATTTGCATTACATTAAATTGCTGACTTGTTGTGAATGAATGATATTGTTTTATGATGCATTATATTGCTGAGTTATAAGAAATACTGTTCGCAGAAGGTTATTGTCTAATTTGTCTGAGTAGAAGAGAACAGAGTGTGCTGGAGTTTTCTGCCCCATTTCAGCAGGAGCAGATAAACAGGGAGCCAAGGTCGTAGCTTAGGCGCTGTGTGAGAGAGAGCATGTGAATGTTTAGGCTTTTTATGATAAGGTGGAGGCACCAGAGGTTATAAAAGTTTGAGCAATGCTCCACCATTTTGAGATTTTGAGGCTGTCTGCATCAGTGTCCATCTCCCACGTGTGTGATCATTAAATCATCGTTTGACTCAACCCGGCCGGACCAGTGTTGTTATTGTGGTTTTTTCTCTTGTCTCCATCCCCAATATTTTGAACCTTAACACTTCATATATAATTTATTTGCCTCTGCCATTCGATCTTTAGGTTATGGACTCAAATATTGACTCGATGTCATACCACCTACACATTACACCTACAGAAGCTGCTCAGCCATGAAGCTCCTGGTGCAGTTTCCATGCTGATATTAAGGGAGTTTGAAACTCTGGAGTTACTGGGTCAGAATAGCGTTGGGGCCCCTGCTCTCTGTAGCTTTACATGCTCTGCCGCTTCATGGCTGAGTTGCTGTAGTTCCTAAATGCTTCCACTTTCCAATAATACCACTTACAGTTGATTGAGGAAGAAATTTCCCAAACTGACTCATTGCAATGGTGGCATCATATTACGGTACCACGCTCAATTTAAGCTCTTCAGAATAGGTACTTCATGTAATACACATCAGGCAATAGGATTGAACACACCTGAATTCAAAGAGTCAGAGGTGTGACCCAGTACTTTTAGTAGAACCAGCCATATAGGCCCATTTTGAGAACTATAGAACATTTTGTTCTTTTTCTCATTATTATTAATATCCACTTCATATGTCGAATGTTACATATACCAAATATTACAAATACAAAACCCTGCAACAACTTTGAATCAAAACAAAGACTTGTAAAAATAAAATCAGGTCTACTGGGTGTGACATACTTAAACCATTTTTATCAAAAATATAACAAACTGTTCAGATGTATAATAGCAATATATTGCTACCCTCTCCCTTGCACCTTCATATCAACATAATGTCGCACCTGCTAATATTGATATAAATCTCCCTTTTCTCATTTCTCTTTAAGCATTTAAAAACTGATCGTTTTTTCTTCTTTTATTATGCTGCATACAATTGTTATTGATGCCATGGGAATATTTCACTTTGAAACCTCGTGGCATTTATTAGTGACATTCTACATTTTCCAGATTTCATGCTCTACAGCGATGCAGTACCTCAGCCAAGCGCTGCATGTTCTGCCTCTCCTGGGCCCAGTGGGCTCTTCCCTCCCTCAGGGCCAGACTGGAATCTGCAAGCTGAAGGGTGAGCTGAGCAGCCTGAAGGCGAGCCTGATGCAGTTCAGCTTGCCCCTGATCCCTCTGGGCAACCATAGAGCTGAGGTCACTCTTCAAGCCCTCAGCAGCTCGTTCGCTCATGTGCAGCCGCTCACGCAGGCTACGCATTTCTTTCAGAGATGCCTCATTTTCCGCCTGTGCATAAAGGACCAAGAAACCATGTTGGTTACTCATCTCATACTTCAGGTGATTTTCTGTATTGCCAGACCCAAAAATATCTAAGCGTGGATTTGAACTGGTCATTGTTGTTTGTTTGTAATTCTTTTAAAACATAATTGCTGAGTTAAAATACAAAAAAACATGTTCCAAATAAAGTAGCAGTGATCACTTTCCCCCCAAAAATCAATTCTGATTTTATGTCCAAATACTTGTAACACATTTCACAAGAGTCGAGTTGAAAACAAACAAACAAACAAAAATCCTATTTTTACATCCTCTGAGTGAGCATCCTGGTCGAGTTTCAACCACTAAAACATTCATTAATAAGTCCTTTGGTTTGACCTCTTTCCTGTGGGCTGTGGTGAGTTTCTGGGTGAGGGTGGTGATGGTGTTTTGAAGCTGCAGGACACTGGTGTCTCTTTGGGCGAGGGAGTTCCTCAGGCCCTGGAACTCCTTTGACAGGATTTTGAGCTCGCTTTCTGTTTGTTCCAGCTTAGTCTAAGGAAAAAAGGCAAGAGATGGGAAAACTGAGATGTTGGGGGGGGGAGGACCATGTTTTACTATGTTACACAGTATGTTTTGAACTGTGCACCTGCAGGCTTCTTCTCTCACTCTCCTCTTCTTTTCTCAGAGCTCCTGCCCTCCTGGCTCTTTCCTTAATTCTGCACATACAGATTTTGTTATAGACAATCAAAACTATTCACAGGACCCACATAAAAGTAAAAGAAGGACAAATGAGAAAACCATGTCAAACCTCTCTAACTCGGTCTCTTTTTCCACAGCTCTCTGTGCCAGGGTTTTGATGTCGTCCTCTAGCTCTCGGATTCGCGCTTTGCTTGCCTCCCTGGCATCCATTAAAGCAGTTTTCTCCTGAGCTAGTGATTCTCCTAATGCCTTTTCCTCCTAACAGACCAGAGGCGTGTTTAATTTTTGTGTTAATATAAGAACTCGGGCAATTTCTTAAATGTCTCCTGCTTACATTTTTACACTTAACACACAGGGACATTATTTAAGCAGAAATGCTTTATCTGAGAATGAGGGCACTGCTGTAGGGAAATGGAAGCAGGCACATCGGTTCTAATCAAATGACTGTGCCCACCATTTGCATAAGCTTCATACATCACCTTCTGCTTCTTCTGCAGCTCATCAAGCTTCTCTAGAGTTTGGTTCAGCTCTTTCTGAAGCCTGGCGATATCACCCTCCAGCTCTTTGCGTCTTCTGTCCCAGGCCTCTCTCGCTCGCTTGTACTCCTCATTCTCTTTCTCTCTTTGCTCTTTAACCGCCTCCTGCACCTGCAAAAGCTCAGCGCGCTCTCGCAGACATTCCTGCAGTCGATTCTAACAAGACAGAGAACAGAGGACGCAAGCAGCATGACTGTGTGCCCGTCTTTGTGTAACTGCAGTAAACAAGAGTATTGATCCCCCCCCCCCAGCAGATGTGTTTTATAAGCACTCGTTAATTTTGCAAAACTGAAAACACACACTCTCCCATGCAGTATCTTATCCACTCACCTGCAGCAGCTCAGCCCTGGGGACTACCAGCAGCATATCTGTGCCTGCCTCCTCTCCATGGGAGTCTTCCTCAAGAGTCACCAGATCCTCAAGTGGCTTTGGTGCACAAAAAGTGAATTTAGAGCTGCGAGAGCACACCTTCCCTTTAGCATCAATATATACGAACTCATACTCCTGGGAGCTGGGCTTGGGTAGGTAGGAAGCTAAAATAGTGATTTAAAAAAAAAGCAAAAAAAGCAAAAGGTTATATTACAATCTGCAGAGAAGAATAATTGTTTTTCAAAGTAGCCATGCTTTAATTTAGACCCTACTTCCCATTATACTTTTAGTCAGTCTAAATTACATACCTATAATTTTGGAACATCTAATCACAATTTAAATTAATGTTCTGGTAAATATGAACTATGAGTCTAATACATTTATTTGTATTATATTGCTGGTTAAGATGATGTGTTTGCCATCAAAAATCCATTTCACAGACCCTTTTTACAGCAAACATTTTGACTTGTCAAAGTAGGGAAAGTGTATGAATAATGGCTGTATTCCACTTAGGGGAGGTCCCCCTTTTGCACATTCTGTTTTATTGCCATGAAATAGGAAACTTAATGGAACTAGGAAGACATTACTTTGACCTGCTTCTCCCCTGCTGTGACAACTAAAAATACACGGGTGACAAATTCAAGTAAAAACTACTCGCTGTAAACTTAATGGCCTTTAATTCGTCATCTGTCTTACTGCAGTCTAAAATGGCCTAGCTTTGCAAACTTGGATTAAGCCCACTGCTAAACTAAAACATTTATTAAATAAAGCTATCTTCTCATTTAGTCTTAGAAACTGTCTGATAATACTTCAATTCAGTAACACCAGGTTCACATGTTGCAATACAGCTTCTGGCCACTAGTGGCAGCAGTGCGGCCATTCACGGCAGGTGAGCGACAAAACGATGATGTCTTTTATGTAACTTGTGTCCCATGGGCTGTGAGGTCTGTAAGCGTCTATTCATTCTCGTTGTATCATTTGTGAAAAACCGCAGAGTACCTGAAATAGCAGAGCGTCTCTGGTTAGCTAAGCTGGCCAAAGTCTTAAACAGGTGTTTTAAGTGACTCTCGGGCAGTTTGGTGCTTTTTTTCCACGTAAAACTTGAAGCGCTTTGCGAGTTGAGCTTCTCTGCGCCATTTATATGTTTGTTGTAAACATCGTCGGCGTAACAGAAGCAGTTAAACAACTTTGTATGTTCTGCTTTTGTCCTGTAGTGTCAAAAACAGCTAGCTCCAGCCAGTGTTGCCAACTTAGCGACTTTGTCGCTATATTTAGCGAGTTTTCAGACCCCTTAGCGACTTTTTTTCTAAAGAAAGTCGCTAAAAAAGACGTGAAAGCTCGTATCGCTTTTACTCTCAACAAGCAGCGGGTGCTGTAACGCAGTCAGTTCTTCTTTTACTCTTATGCTGTTTTGTGGATCACAAGGTTTAAAACTACTTATAAACACACACACACACACAGTAACTCCACCAGAGTGCCTATTTCGGGTCACTTGCCGGTCCAAGCCCGGGTAAAGGAGCAGGGTTGGAATTGTGACATTAAAAAAAACAATAATTGCTAAAAGAAATTTAGTTTGTAGTTCTAAATAAACTCTAAATGCATTTAAGACTTTTTTTTACTCACTTTATGTCTCTTCCACGATGTTATTTCTCTCTCCAACAACATAGGTTACAATTAGATTAGCATGACCAATTATGCAAATTAGGCGTTGACGTCATTTAGCGACTTCTAGCGACTTTTAGGACAGCCAATAGCGATTTTCCTTACTGAGGAGTTGGCAACACTGGCTCCAGCAAGCTAAACGCTCATTAAACAACACGTGTTTGTTTATCACATTATAAAATAGCTTTTCAGTCGCCTCGACTGTTTGTGCTATGCTGCTATGTCCTGTTGAAACCACAGAAATTAATCTAGTATCAATTCAACAAACATCCTGTTAATGACGCGGTCCATGCTTTCAGCTGTCCTGCCAAAAAATGTTTTCCTGCTATTTAAACCGCTGTAAATGACTAGCTGGCCTATAATCTGTCAAACGTATCTCTCATGAAGGATATCGAGTCATTATGTGCCAGAAAGAAAATTCCCGTCACAAAGTAGAAGCTACAATCAGTTTTTGGCAAAGTGACTTTTATATATCCTTTATGAATCGATGTAAAAACTATCGTTGACAGTAAAAACGTCTTCTCCAAAAGAGAGCTGGCCAAGAGGGCAGGAGAAATTGCAACAAATATAACATAACAGTTCTATAAAGATATTTTAAGTGGCCCAACAGGACTGGATTGATTAAAATGTAGAGCACAAAGTGGGTATGATAATGCTGAGTTAAAAGACACTTGCAGAACAGGTCATTTCTTTATTTTGTACGTAACCACTTCATAAATCTTGTTGACTACAGCCTATCTACCAATATAAGCAAAGCTATTAGTCATAAAAACACATCAGCAATCACTGTTTCGCATAAGACTGTCGCTCATAAAGTTGAAGGCTTACAAATTTTGAGAGCAAAATAACTGCTTTTCAGACCAGCTGTGCTACTTGCATAACGTTAAGACTTTCACTATCACCTGAATCTGCTTCCTTTTCATGCACCTTTAACCAAGCATACTGGAACTGATGATGATACACCTCCTGCCTCCCACACTAACCACAAAGCAGTCAGCCTTATTCTGTGACTCCTTCCAGCCTATAAAGTAAGTTGATCTAATATCATTATCTCACACAGACCATAGCTTCATGTTTGGAGTGATTTACTTAGAATTACTGTTTCACAATACGGCTACAGCAAAGGGCCAAGATAGAAAACAGACAGAGGGAATGACACACGGTAAAGTTTATGAGCTGTATTTCAACTTCGAGCACCGGCTAAGGTCACAGAAGAGGCGACCTTCTTTTTAAATCACAGCATTGCTGCTGATAAGGAACCATCTGTACTTTCTTTAGTTTCCTTTCTCTGTACTGAAGAATGACATTGACAGTATGTTTAAGTTAGCGATAAATCACTTTACCAGGGGTCAATGCCACACCTGCTGCACACGTGCCCCTCACCCTCAATCAGGCTTATCAGCTGCCCCTGACACACAGGACAAAGTGAACACTGTATTCTCCAGTGAGCAGCAGCAGTCAGCAGAGCAGCCTTTGGGCCATTGTCTTACTAAAGAAATGAATTCAAACCATGACAGAGAGTGTCTCTGTTAGAAACCAAGTTAGATATTTCTCTTGTGCAAAGGATTTTTTCCCCTTTTTTCTGCTGAAGAATTATTTTAAGATAGGAATAAACATTTGCTTCCACTCAGCATGTGATTCGCTAGCTTTTTGTAAACAACAGAGCAATTCATTTTACAGAGGCATCAATCTCCTGCTGAAGGTTTTATGTGCTGATCTAGTACAGATCCTGTGTGACTATGGGAGGTAAACCCAGTTAGAAAACAAAGGTATGAATACCCTGAAACTGAACACAGCAGTTGACATCTGTGCCCTCTTGGTAGTCAGCCGGGGCTAGCGCCCATACAAAGGTGTGGTATTCCTTTACTGATGTCCATCCCTCCTGAAGAAGAAAATGTGTGCACAGTGTTAACTTCCAGTTGGATATTATTTATTTAGTTGCTTTTCCAGAAATTCGTCAGAACAGCAATACCTTGAAGAGCCCTATCCAATCATTACTGGCCCATATGTGCCGTGAGCTCAGCGTGTAGTGGCAGTCGACTCTGCTCTCAGGAAAGTAGCTGCAGCCCACGTTTCTAAACTCCACCTGCCAGTCCTTGTCCATGGCAACACAAAACAAATGCTCTATTGCACCTACAAGAAAGAAGGTAAAAAACAAACAAACCCCAAATCAACCTAGAAACCAACATGCACAGTTACATTACACAGCTATTTCTGGAATATAGGTAAGAGGTGGTCCCTGCTGAACAAACAAGAGGCCCCAAGTGTGTGAGTATTTTTGTTCAGTGTAAGATCTAGACTGAGTGCACACTTAAGGAAACAGCACCGATGCACAACTAATCCTCAGTGACAGCATGGTCTTAAGGCAACATGACACGTTACACAGGTTGTCACCAGGGGCTATTTCAGTCATCTTCAAAATCATTTGCTATTATACAGCATCACGTGTAAGCATGCAGGATATGGGCTCAGATTCCACTCGAGGTTACTTGCCACGAATTTGTGGTGTCCCTGCAGTTAACCACACTGCTTGCCTACCGAAAGCACTATTTTTGTGTGTGGTGTAATAACTATGGTATAGGCAACATTTATGATGTGATGGTACACTGTTACACAAACAGGGTGAAACACATGGTAAATATACATTTTAATAGAGCAGCAGAGACAAGCATGATGAGATTTTCAAAAGGAACAAAAATAAAGCAAGCGCACTTTAAACCCAATGAGGATTTACAGCGAGCATGTTCTTTAAACTTGGATTAACTTTCTGTACTTTACATTTATTCCCTGTGGTAGAGTCAATAATCACAGATGATACAAGTTTTCTATTTTTGTTTTGCAAACAAACATCCGTTCGGACAAGATAAAATACAGACAGTGCGTAAAACAATACACCAGTAATCAAAATAGCTTTCCGTGGACTCGTTTTACATGGCACGAGGCTTAAGGCCCAACAGTAGCACATGTCAAGAAAACAGTGTTATGCCCGTCGATGAAAGCTTTAAGCTGACAAACAAACAAACACAGGCACTGCGGACAGACCTGAATCCGTGCACGTTAGTCATATTTGTTAATTTGATGGAAATGCAAATAATAAGAGACAATGCAGGGCTTTGTTAACTACCAAAAGAGATCTGCGCACATTATCTCGACCCGTTTCTGATGTCTTTGTTACCTTTACGGTCCTCAGCCCTCTGCAGACGGTCCAAAGGAGCCCTCTACGTGCGAGGTACCGGACTGACAGTCCTCAAGAAACCCACGAAAGAACACGGCCGATGCAGACTCGCTTTCCTCACGGAGCTCAGCTGGACCAACAACGCGAAATAACAACAAAAAAGCCAAAGCAAAACACAAGCACCACAGCTTCTTCTGCACCGTGGAATTATGGGAGCTGTTGTTCACGATGTAGCTGAAACTATGCCGAGATACTCCTTTTTAAACTACAACCCCCAGGCTCACAGTAGACTAACAGATCCGCTGAATGTAATCTGACGCGTCTCATCGGCCGCCGTTGTTTTTCGCATCGGATATCTGCCAAACCGCGGCTGTCCTGCTCGTTCACCAATGGAAAGAGTGTGTGTTATTTGCGATGAGAGGAAGACACTCTTAGCGGATGTAATAATGAAAACGGATGTTTTTATTTGCAGTGATTGTTCGAGTTCATAAATATTTGCTACATTGCGCTGTAAACAAATCTGCGCATTATTTTCCATGCAGGTAGACTTCGCACTATGACGGTTATTTAATTTGATGGTAAAGTATTGCAGGTTGTATAGTTTTTGCCTATTTATTTTAGTTTAAATCAGTGTCCCACGGGAGCCTTTTCCACTTCATGTATTATCTATACTTTGATGAGGAAAATCAGGAACCACAGCAGATCCTCTGACGTCAGCCCACGTTCCAGATTTGATGGAGGGGAATTCGGATTTTAGCCAAAATTTTTTCCAAAATAATCCAGTGATCCTGCATTTTGGAAGCGCCCCAATTTGGCAGTTTCTTTAGGGTAAGCTTGATATCCCACAACGTCTTCAAACATGAGGACAAATAGAGCGCATGACGAGGTTACAGTGCCGGGCAGCAGATGGCAGTATACCATCTTGAAAACCAAAATTACACATGCAAGTCTAAACACACAGTGCGGTCTTTTAAGCCCACAATGAAAATATATCACAGCCTTTTTGTCCTTTCACTATTAGATACAAGATAAAAGGGGGGGGGGGGGGGGGGGTACACTGTCTCTCTATGCTGCAAATTTTAAAAACAGCCTGGGTTCACCATCTCTAGCTTTGCCTTAATTCATAGTTTTGATTTTGCAGATATATCAGAAGAGAAATGCAAATATGGCTGTGCAGATAGGTCTCAAGGCTACAGTAGTAGTATTGTCTATCTGGGTTCACAATGTGTTATTCTGAGATTTTTAATAAAAAAAAAAACATTAAAATACTGGTTTTAGTTGAACTGATTATATTAAATGATTTAAATTTAAATAAGAATTAAAATGGCAAATAAGTCTTTAACTGCAAAAAGCCATCAATAACAAAAACCTATTTAACAGAAATGGAAATTAAAAGTTAGCATTCTCTATTAAAGGTTATTAGTCCTCCACAACCACAAGTTAAATAATGCTCAGCCTGTATTATTATAGTTATTGATGTTAGCTCATTGCCCATAGCCAGCCTATTTATCTCTGCTCATTGATGAGACACTCCAGTCACACAATACTTTACTCCTCCTCAATTAGTAAGTCCAGTTTGGCTAATTTAGTCTGTTGACGACACTATAAGGATGCTTCATGTAATTTTATGCCGACGGACAGTCAATGCTGAGACCCTATAAATTGTGTTTAAGTGGATTAATAGTGTGCTGAGCCTGTGTGAGCAAAGTGGTGATGGAAATAGTGGCTCGCTCTCACAGTGGGATAATTAAATAGGTTCTACTGTGATGACTGGCTTATTCAGTAGCCACTGTTTACATGCGTGTTTAGCTTTAGGTATTATTAAAGAAAAAGATTTCTTCTGTTGAATTCTTCAACATAATTCAGTATGGTTGTCTTACGCGTTCCCTGGAACACAGAAAAATCAGATATACCAAAAATACTAGCATAAGTATTGTTTATGAATTAATTCTATATGCTTATTTCTGCTGGTTTTGTGCCACCCTATTTTATTTTATTTTATTTTATTTTATTTTATTTTATTTTATTTTATTTTATTTTAGTGTTGTGTCTGATTTCCCATAGCCTTGACTTTGAAGCGTCATTGTTGTGTAAAGTTAGAAGACAGTTGTGCAGTAGGAGTGTGAAGGCTTCACCATAACAGAGGCTAGACTTAAAGTGGATTGTCCATGAAACTGCTTGATCTTGACCTGGCTGCCTGCTGTTATGGCTCCTCTGCCTATCATAACATCCCACCTCTACCCTGCAAACTTGCGCACACATGCAGTTATGCTGACCGTGTGAATTTACAGCTCTTTTTTTGTTTTTTGGGAGGAGATGGCTAACATTCACACTTTGAGGCGTTAGGTTGGGGGAAAAAATAGTGTTCTGGCACAAAACGTTCAACATGTTGTTTATTTATCTGTTGTGGAAGTACTCCACACAAATTTAATCCCTGTCATCTGCTGATTTCTAGCAGCTTGGCTTGGAATTTCTCTCAATGCTAGAAAATGGTATAGCCCCTGAGTGCTACTGCAGTTTTATTACCTGAGGTGGTTTGTCTGAATATAGCTTACCACATGTCTCATTCAAAGGGAATGGCAGGTATGTGTCACTAGTCATAAATTGCAACTAGCCTTCAGCAGTAATCAGTTGCCAAGGAAACCTCAAATGGGATTATGACCTTCTGTTGTGTATAGCCAAGCAAATTGTTAGAGTTGTCAAGATCCAAGAGACAAACATTAAAGATTTATGTCAGTAAACAATTTATTTTCTCATCATACTAAGTTAATGGGTAGCGTGTCTTGCGTGGAAATAAAACTGAGAATATAAGTTGGCGGCATTTTTTTTTCTGGCTGGGTATTACTTAAAACTATACGGGCAGTTTTGACTTTAATAATGGTAGTTACTGTGTTTTGAAGTAATGTTGTCTTGTTTTAAGATATAGTCAAAGAAAGGCATTACAAGGTAGAAAACAAAGAAAGAAGAGCAGAAGCAGAGTGCCTAGAAGGAGGGTAGAGTGTTGGGAGGGTGGAGATAGAGAAATGGGGGACGGTGGTATTTAGTATGCACGGCCAAGCTGCCCCATCTGCTTAGCGCAGCAGTCCCTGTCGTATAACTGTCTGCAGGCCGTGGGCCACATAAAGAATGTCTCAGATTTGATGTAATTCCGCAAAATTAATGACAGCTTTACTCGGTATGGGCCGTGAGGGAATGATTAGTGTTTGATCGTCCATCTGATCAGTTCCCTTGGCTGGCTGCTGAGAGATGCTCCACTATATGCCGGTATGTTGCCTATGGCAAGCACACATGCACACACAGATACACCTATCCCAGAGTAATTCCTGGGCCCCCATGTTGTAGTTTATGTTTAGGTTCTGGTTCGCGTTTCCCTCAACAAAAACATCCAATATCTTGTAAAATTCTCTGTGCTGTGACACTTCACATCAATGTGAACACCTACTGATGTGCTGGATGCAGGTCCCACTGGTAATGTGAATGTGCACAGGGCACTTTTATATTAGGCTGTGCGGTATTTCAAAGAAAAGTGGGACAACCAGCATCCAATTTAGAGAACTCGGAGGTCACACTATGACCTTTTACAAGATATGCTTTACTGCAGCTGTGATTGGAATTGGGTATTAGTTTTTAAAAGAGATGGTGAGTGGATTGGGAATTTGAGAGAGAAAAAAAATTGATCCATTGGATGGATTGCTGGAGTTGGACAAGTGGAATACCTCTCGTCGTTTTAATTCAGCCCCACCTCAGCGTTCCCAACCCCCATCTCTTTCCTCCTCTTGGGCTGCTGCGTTTACAAGCGAAGGGGGCATTCTGTTTTACAAGTGAGCCTGGTGCGTCTCGGTGTGCTAGCAACATTAAAATTGAACTCGTCTTATCTGTGCAAACCGCGAGGCTTTACATCATAGGCTGTCGTGCTACTGCCATGAGGCCCCACTGTGCTTTTATGTAATGTGGTGCAGTCAAAAACCCAGTGGACAATTAAAGTGAGCTGATAGATAAAGAAGTGATTGAAGACCAGAATCTTAGTTTGTGGAATGCCCTGTGTGTTGGGGGGAGGGACACTTTAGTGGTTTATTATTGTTAACAAGACACAACATCTCACGTAGACAGACTGAACTGGAGACACAGTTTTCAGAGTTGCATCTATTTTTTGTTTTTTGCTGAGTTGCATATGGCAAAGCTAATTTCCCATCTGACCATTAGTACTCTGGTCAAGTCCAAAGCATGGAGAGCCTAATTCAGCAAAGGCTTGGGGAGGGCTGTTTCTGCCAACACAGATTGTTGGACAGATTGGCAGTGCTTCACTCTGTGTTGATGCAGTACTTTTCCCTCAAATTGTGCACAATTATAACAAATCACTTGCAAAAACACCATTAAAGTAAACAAAAACTTGTTCCAGTTCAATTGCAACTCAGTCCATTATCCTCTCTGTTTTCTCCTTCCTCAGTACTTTAGAGTTTTTGTCCTTCCTTCCATAACACTCATTCCAAATTATTTGAACGTGTTTCCTCCTGCTTGGGTTCCCCCCTTCCCTGTTGCCATTCTCTAATCTCCTTTCATTTTGCTCTTTTTCTTGGCCCACTCTTCCTCCCCCACTGCTTTCTTTTTCTCCTCTTCATTTTATATTTTTGGCTGAGCTGAGGACCTTTCCTGGTGCAGTGACCTTTCTGGTTTTAAATTAAGCCCCACTGCGGCACGTCTCTCTTCATAGATCGCCAGTTACGAGCCTTCAGAGAACCGCAAAAAAATAACGATTCTGATGAAATGGCCCCTTTAAAAAGCTCTTCCAAATTCCTTTTACATTTTTCTTTGCCTCTTCCCCCCTTTCTGGTTGCATTAATATTCACACTAATGAGGAACATCCTAAAGAGCAGACCATGGAAAATGTGAGAAGAGACATATGCATGTGCCTCCCGACATGCACGTCATACACATACTGTTGCTCATTGCTAATGGGGTCTAATTAAATGCCACATATGTTTGAAGTGATTTATGAAATCTGGGCATCCAGGGCTTGCATTATGATTGCTTAATCAGAAAGAGACCATTTTTCAATGAATAACACAGTTTGTGGCCTTTTAGAAGAGACCAATGTTTTGCATTATGTGATTAATAGGCCTCTAATAAATTTTTTTTAAAATGATAAATAGTTCTTACTGCGCTGAGGTCATAGTTCTTTTACCTGGTAGTCCAGCATTTGTCTTAATATTAGTGCAGAATTTATAGTATGATGTCAATAGGCTTGGGCCATGTTAAGAAATCGGGTTATCATAAACCACAATGCAATACAGTCACGAAGAACCTCCCAGGTGCTGAGTAAAAGCACAATGACTTGTTCAGGACCACCATCCCCTGGAAATGAGGAACCAGAATAATTTAAATACAGAAATGGCTTGAATTTAAACATAATTGGTCACAATCCAACCTCACCTGTTCACTGAAACCTTCTAAAACTCAAAATAGAGGGAGTGATAGCAATTATTGGGAGTAATTAAAGCATTTAAACTTTTCAGTGAGGACTCAAGACTGTTTTGAGCTACATTAAAAACTATGGTTTTAGTGGCTACTGGCAGAGATCAGTGTCTTGCACTGATAGGTGAGAAATTGTAATGTTTACTTTTGGTACATATACAGATTCACTATAATGTGTTACAAATGTTTATTTATCTATACATATCTAAATAACCTTTGTGTAAATAGTTCGAGACTGAGGATTTTTTTTTTAAGCAAGAATACAATGGATACAGCAGAGAAAAGCACAATAAAAGACAACAATTATTGAGTAGTTTAAAAAATGATAGTAATGTGTTAAGCAAATCCTGTAAATTCTTTGGAGGTGCAATTTAATTTTTTAGAGCATATTGTTTTATATTGTTTGCAGTATTCTGTGCTGTGCTGAGATCCAAGCAAATAATTTTGTATTTTAGATGAAATGTGATGATTAAGACATAGGCTGCATAGGGTCTATATAAAAGTGGCAGCTTTCTTAGAAGACCTTAATCAACAGAGATTGTAGTGTGTGAGGTTATTGTTTTCGTTTTGCTGGTCCAGCTTGTTGCTCCTAGTGTTCAGTTATTATTGTACTGCTCATAAAATTAAGGTGTCCAAAATTAAGTTGGACATCTGAATGAAATATTCATGGTGAAAATCTTTACAGACATACTCAAAATGACACTAAAATCAAAGGTTAACCAAGTGTTCCCTTGTTTTGAGCGCTGTGCTGGTATTTGCAAACTTGCATATTTCTTTTTTCTGGAAGAGGTTAGGGCATGCTGGAATTATAGCATGGGAAGATGGCGGAATTTAAGCTCCCTAAAACTGTGCTTTTTCCAGTTACATATTTCATGTCATAAAAATTCCACTGACACCCTTAGCTGCAGAGTAACCTGTGACTTGATGTGGAAATATGCAGAAAGCATCACGATTGGTCCTCTCCAGTAATGGTGAGCTGTGAATGTTAATCTTCACTCTATATGGGCTGCATCCAGCAACATGCAGAGATTATTTCTGAGGCCCATCTCCTAAGGTGCTCCTTGTAGCCTTGGTAACCCTAATGAATTATGGGCCAGCCCAGTTAAAACATGTGTGGTATTACCCCATTCCACGGTATGTCCTCCTGGGTGTCTATGAATCACTGATCTCATCAAACTGGGTTTCTCTCTCTCTTCCTTTCTTTCTCTATCCTTCCCTCCAGATCGCCCCGTGTGCTTCCCTCCCCCATTGCTTGTCACCGTCCAGTCCCCTGGGGCGTCTGTCTGGGATCTGCCAGGCTCATCAGTGAGGAGAGGAGAAGGCTAACTGGGAGCCCTTACTGGCTGTAAATCCAGAGAGGGTGGAGAACTTGCAGCGGCCACACGTCCACTGCAGCCCAGTAAGTCCAGCAGCCACCTCTCCTCCCCCCAGCCCCCAGTACACTTAAGACACTTACAATCCGTCTGCATGTGCAAATGCATTCACACAAGTACTCAACAAGGGTTTGTTCTCCTACTGTTCAAAGTTAACCTAACTTAATCCTGTTGCAACCTGACCCAAGGAATGGGATTTTAGACACCAGGTATTTTGATGCAGACATTCTGTATCTTTATATAAAGGTTGAGAGGATTAACATGTTACAGAGTGTCTGTGTTTGTTATTGTTAATATTTTGCAATACTGTCAATTTTGCCTCCTGTTAAAACAATAAATGGCATGATTATAGGCCTGTATCTGTGGGCAAATTGTCTGTGTATGAATAAGCATATCGTTGGACTCAAGAAGAGTTTCTATTTGTGCTCAAGTGTTTATTATTTCCTTGAAGGAGGATGACAGCAAATGTTTGCTGCTAATGAGGTGATCAGAGTTCTAGTTGTGTCTAAGAAGTGAGACATCATTTAATCCATGGTGCTATGCAGAGGTAATTTCAGTCTCAGAGTAGCCATAAAGTGCTGGAAGCCTAGCACAGATCTCGACTGCAATGCAGTGAGAGGGGCCCTTCTCTCTCATACATACATTTAGCTGGGTGTGATACCATTCCATACACATAGACACACACCCTCCCTCTCCTTATCTGAGAAATAAGCATTTTTACAGAGTTTGAGCTGTAAAAGGAGAGGAGCAGATAGCCCATAAATCTAGCCATAAAAACGTTAAGTTGTCAGAGGTGCCATCAGCTATCAATCGTGTGCGGCAAGCTGATGAAGGGGAAATAGGTGATAAAAAACAGCATTTTAGGGAAATTATGTCCAGTCTTCCATTTGCGAAGTGCTGCAGTCGCATCACTGCAGAATCTTAATCACTGGCTGGTGTGGTCAGGGACTGTTCCTCGCTGTGACAGTGAGGAGGAGCACACCCTAGTGGGAGGGTGGGATATGGAGGAGGCAAGAAGAGCCGTAGCAAGGGGGGGAGGGGGTGCATTGGTGTGGGGGCAGCATTGTAGAAAATTATACAACTACCATAAATCACTTCTACACTACCGTTTTTTTCCTCTCCCTCAATTTCTCACTTCCCCCATCCCCACACTTGTGCTCTGCCTCTTTCTCTGTTTCTTTCTGTACTTCAAGGCTGTGCATCTTCTTCTCCTCATTTGCACTCCCACCCTGACGGTCCCCCTGGCTTTCCGCCCTTTATTCTTCTTTCAGTCCCTGGCGATGTTCTTTATTCGAAGCACTGTTGGTTACCCTCACTTCCCTGTTCTCTATCTGTCTCAGCTTCATTTACACTGTGGTTTGTTTACATGCTTTCTTTATTGATCTGCTTTTTGTTGCCTAGCAGGGATTTATCTCCTGTCCATGGGACTGTATTAGTAAACCCCGAAATTGACCTGTCTCTCTGAGATGGTTCCGATATAGTCTGTTCTTGAAATAAAAGAAAATGCCATCTTGTCTGCAGCTTATTTCACATTTTATCAGACAGCACTGTGACGGGATTCCTGGTTGCTTCTTTATTGGGGATTTTTTCCAAATAGAAAAACAACCAGTGATGCTTTTATATGCTGAGGCATTCTAGTACAAGTCATGTCTTTATTGAAATGGTCGAAATCCAAAAGCAAATTGTGCAATATCCTATAGCTTCTTTATTTAAACTATATATATTGAAGAATGTGTCTTATTTGCACCAGTATGAAGGAGTACGTGCCTTTAGTGCGTAGAAATAATATAAAGGCATCCTGTGAGAGTATCCATGCCTATTGAATTGATAAATGCCTCCATTGTGTGATCTGTGACTCCCCTGTAATCTAAGGTCATTTGTTAATTAATTTGAATAGCCCTACAGGCTTTGGTTCTGCTCCAGTGGTCTTGGATGAGTGATGTCATTCTGTACTGAGCTGACTTTAAGCATTGTGAAATGAATGCAGTGAAGCATGTTCATCTGCAGTGGCCCCTTCAGTATGTCCTGCCCTGTGACCATATATCACGGGAAGGTGTTGCTGTGCATGAACCACTACCTAAGAAGTGGAAGTTGTCATTTTATTTTTCACTTTGTAATAATTATGAGGAGGAACTACTGTACAGACTCTACATATTATGTATAAAGAGCTTATTGTTGTTGTCTGGACGCGTTTGTAAAATTTCTTATATTTTCAGAGAAGACTTCTTCACCAAAGTCGCTGATCATCTACAGTGGATCTTTGTGGTTCTGGTGGGTTTATGCTCAGACATTAAAGATGTACTGATGGTGAGCGGTTATCCAACTCTTGTGTCAGGTGCTGTGCTGCCACCTTTAGTTAGCCTGAGGTACTGTAATGCAGTACCCATTTACACATCATCTCTCTACGTGGGCTATTCTGCAGTTTAGTCACACAGCATCTTTTTGTGACAGAGGGTAGTTTAACAACACATCTAACCCTACTGCATTACAGCTAGTGTACCTGTGAACATGCAGACTTTGTTTAAAAGGGGCTGTCACATAGAATAAAGTTGTTCCATGCTGTGAGTGTGATTTAAAAACAACTAACTTTGTAAGCAGTGTTGTCTTGCATCATGTGTGTCTCAAGTATTGCCTTGTGTTAGCTAGGCATTTTATTGGCTTTTTAAAAAAACCTCAAGAGTGTGCATTCAGATATGTCATGGTGCTGCTGCTAAAGCTGTGAGCCTGCCTTTTTCCATGCATCGTTAAAACACCGATCCCCAGGACAGATTTCAACCTTTTTCTGTTCATGTGTAGTTTTTGCATCAGCACTAGCAGTTATAGGTTTTGACATTTAGACATTTCCAGACATGCTACTTTGAACACAAAAGACTCTAATCTCAGCTGGATGGCAGTAGATTTCTTCCATGTATTAATACACAAAGTCAGAGACTAGGGATGTATGGGTTTAATTTACGCGTATCTACGCTAGAGTGAGTCCTAATGTAAAACTTGTGAAATGTAAATTGACATGATCTGGTCTCCACTTAAGATTTTTCCATTTTTGCAGTGCTCTGAATCCCATTATGCGTCATATATTTTTTATTCAGAGTCCCATTCCTCATAAAGAAAAACTTCTCCAAGTTTCAGACGGTATGTTTCTTTCTATCTCTCCTGAATCATTAGATGATTAGTCCTGACGTGGTCCCCCAAATAATGTTGATGGCATTAATTGCTGGGTGGGTATGGGTGAGCGCAGTACCTTCTTGTGGAATACAGTTTTAGGGAGTGGTTTTTCTTCCTGCTGACATGTTACTGCAGTGACAGCTGTATCTGCCAGGGGGCAGGCAAGCACACACATCAAGGCAGCAGAGAGCCACATGCAGCCCTGCCTTTGCAGAGCTTCACTCCCTCTTTTGTGGTAATATTGCTGTTTCTGTTTCTGAGTCTGAAGGTATTTAAATAAATATGCAAACTTCTTCATATTATTGCTGTTATATGTATTTGACTTGAATTATGAATATAATTTTGTAAAGCCTATTTAATTATAGACACTGTGGTTTATATTACCTATTCATGTTCGCTTTATTAGAATTAATTATATCTGTCAGTTTCTCTATTTGAAGGTCAGAGGAGACAATATGGTGATGCAGTGGTGATATTACATGTGCATTACAACAAATTTATGTTCAAACGTTCAACAAGTTTAAACAGCATACATAACAAGAACATATTCCTTCTCATAAGTAAGCTTGCCAGCTACAGTTCAATGAAGTTAAGTTGGAGAGCTGTAATTTTGTACCAATAAAACTGTTGAAAGAATTTTATTCATTTCACTACCACTCATTTTCCTACTCAGCTATTTATGAGCAATAAGAATAGATACATTAATGTTACTGCATATCTGAATAATGGTTTTGCACTAAACCTCCTCTTGAGCATTCAGTGTTTTCCCTTTATTTTTAACCAAAAAAGTAAAATCAAGTTATGATTCCAGACCACTTATAATTTAGTTTGGAAGTACTTTTCATTTTTTCTTATTATCTATATTTATTGTAATTCCTCATTGTATGTTTACTATAGAACATATTAAAATAAAATATTGCAATTGCTTTCATGTTTTCATTCAGAATTAATTTGTCTACTCATCAGCATTTCTGCTGTTATGAAATGTCAGGAAGTGTTTGCTGTGAGTTCATAGTAGCCTGTTTAACCTTATTTGTTATTGTGCTATAAATGTGATTACATCCTAGATCTAAACTTGGTTTTAAGCCCAATGTCGCTGCTGTTTCCTTAGGCCTCCATAGGGAAAAAAAAGCCATAAACCTTTTTTTCTTCTTCTTCTTTTTTCTTTTTTGAGTAGCCGTGTTAAAAAGAACACCTGTAACTCGACACACAGACCCCTCTACTAAAATGCCAGGGCCATGACTCATGGGAATGGGCACACACAGCTAAATAGATAGTTTGTGTACAAGCTTGTCTTCCAGGTTGAATATTCTCCTGGTTTCAAACAAAGCATGCATTTGGACAACATCTGAACGGAGGCCATTTTGGTTTGGCTTTATGTTTGCACAGTCCTGGGATTGTGCAGTTGCAAGTGGGGGATGGGCGAGCTACTGCGCTACCATGAAGACTTCTGTTAATGTTTTAGTCATTCTGGTGCCGCTGGGCTGGGAGACAGATTCAGTCAAAAAGCATTTGAGTACCCTCAGGTCCTCGGAGTGATTTACTATGTATTTGGACATCTGCAAAGAGCTCTTGCACCTTGAAATTCTCTCTCTCCTTTTCTCCCTCTCCCAATCGTTCTTTCTCTCTGTCTCTCTCTTTGCAGTAGTAAACCCTTAGGAATGATCTGTCATGCTGAGTCACCTTGAAGATATCTAAGGTACTATCACTTCCTGTCACCTTTTCCTTCATCCCTTCTCCAATCCGCCCTCCCTTCCACCGTCTATCTTACCTCATCTTTCTATCACCTTCAAACCTTCTGCTCAAGTCTCAGCCACATCCCTCTTATCTTGACAATGAGACTTTGTATGCAATGCTCCTTCTGCTCAGTCTCTTATCCTGCCTCTTGCTCACCAGCTGGGCACATCAATCCATGTGACAGGTGGTTGTCAGTCAGCGCCTCACTGGTCAGCACCCTAAAAAGTTTTAAACATTGCAAGGTTGCCAGTGCTAGAGAAATTGCATCAGTTAAATGAACAAATCTATGGTTTTCATCCTCACTAACAAGTGTAAGTAAGTGATAAGCAATTATCAGTAAGTTATGTTAC